TAGAAAATCAAGAAAAGTGCATAGTGCATCTGAGTGATTTCTATTTTGTATTTCTATGAACCAACGATCAACTGATCAACTGCCCAAAACACTTCGAAAAAGTAACCCTAATAAGTTTGGAACAAAATCGGAAAGCAAATAGAATCTATTGAGCATCATAGTACATTCTCTCACAACATCAAATTACTATAAATACAATGCATTTTTCAGTTCTTCTTATCACATACAAAGTCACTCAAAATTGGAGTAAAAATTTACTAACCTACAAATCAATATAATAAAATAAGAATGAAATCCAAATAAAAGCAAATCACATTGCATATATTAGTCATTACAGTGCACTCTCCTTGTAACTATAATTATGGAAAGTAGCAAAAAATTTAAAATTGCACAAATTTGGGAGACGGAATTGGTGTTTGATTTATTTTGATTCTGAAGGACAATAATACCCTTGATTTAAAATCTGGAGTAGTTTGCTCCTATTTTTATGGATTGCATTAATTTCATTCCTTTTTTAAAAAATTGAGTCTTATCTTACATGGATTTTTAATAGCCGCAGGATCCTTCATATCCAATGCATATTATTCATTCTTATTTCTTTCGTTGAGAGTCATTCTCACCGGAACCAGCTCCTATATATATATATATATATATATATATATATATATATATATATATATATATATATATATATATATGGCACTGGGAGAGTCATTATGATGCGGTTGCACCCAGTATCTAAAACTACATTAAAAACTCAGAAAGTAAAAGATGATCTGATTATGTTATTTTATGTACGGAGTATAAAATAGAAAGAAGATTTAGGACGTGCTTTAACTTTCAACAATTTCCAATACATTCCAGTTTTTTTGCACTCTTTGGACCTGTTTGAGAATAACGTTAGAGATTAGCGTTAGCGTTTTGGATAAAATTTCAACGGTGCAGATTACTTTGAAAAAGTTAACGCTAACAGTTGCTCGTTGATAGCTTTTTCAAAACGTTAACGCCAATCTCTAATGCTATGCCTAAACAGGCCCTTTCTAGTTCTATTTAAACCTTTCAAATTGCTTTCTTTTTTTCTCAATTTTTTAAAATTATGGTTAAAATCATTTAACCATAACTTTCAAATTATTCTCGCTTCCATTTCGATGATGATGATTATTATTACCCGGAGTATCATTATGAGCATTATGAATAGGGGTGGGTTCGATTTTTTCTCTTTGTTTTTTTCTAAAACCAAAGACGGAATGAAATTTTGCGCTTCGGTTCGGTTTTTCAAACAAAAAAAGTGAATGGTTAGTTTTTCGGTTCGCCTTTTTGTGGTTCGATCCTCGGTTATTCGGTTTTGAAAAAACATTTTTTCAAAAGTATATCATACTTATCCCATTAAAAAATTGTAAAAAAAACTGTGAACGCTTGCAAGTATTTATCCAAGTATTTATTGATTTCGATTTGGTTTTCGATTATCCCTACCCACCCCTAATCATGAGCGTTAATAAACTAGTAGAAAAGTTCTAGTGTCACCATTTATAGAATAAAAATTTTATTTGTCCAAAAAATTAATTACCGTTATAGAGTTGGTATAAAATATTAAAACCTTAAATTAGTTACATATATATTATATATTTCCTTTACAATTTATTATTTTTATAATAATGTACAATATGTTGTCATTAGACAAGATTGTCTTAATAAATCAAGAAGGTTAAAAACATTTTGCAATGAAATTAACATGCTCAAGTACACTACTTTTATGATGTACATGTACAAAGTGTGTAGAAAAAAATATGTGTGAAAAAATGACTATGTAACTTGTAAATTATATGATGAATAAACAATTGTTATAATTGACGACCTCTCAAACACTTACACTATGTTTGGTTCAAGGAATTTAGAAGGAAAAGAAAAGAAAATGGTTTTCTCTCATTTTCCTCACTAAAATGAGAGGAATTTGGTTTTGCATTTTTAGTACATTTTGCCTTCTAATTTTCTTTTTCTCCTACTTTTCTTTTCTTTTCTCTAACCAAACAAGAAAAATGTTTTCCTTCTCATTTTCTTTTCTTTTTCCTCTCAAATTTCTTGAACCAATGTGTTAATTCTATTTCATCCAAATTTGGTTTTCTTACACATTCATTTGTGTGAATTTTTATTTTTCATAATTTAGTGATTTAATTATTATTTTTGAATATAAATAATATTTTTTCTTTTCTGAGTTAATTTTGTAAGACACAACCAGCTTGCAATAATTTTAGTGTATAAATTGCGGTGTGAATTTATTTTTATTGAATATTTATGTCAAATTTTTATAGATTATTTCTGCCAATGGCTTGCATATTAGTCACACGAAAACAGAGTATATGAAGTGCAAGTTTCACAACAGAAGGAGAAACGGTAACAGCGAGGTGAAAGTTGAAAAAAATACTATACAACAAGTAAACATATTTGAATATCTTGCCTGTATCATTCAAGACAATGGAGAAATAGAGGATGATGTTAATGACAGGACTCAAATCGGTTGGTCAAAATGGCGGAGTGCTTCATGCTTTATATGTGACAAAAAAGTACCTTTAAAATTAAAGAAAAAATTTACCGTACTACTATTAGACCAACTATATTGTATGAGCGAGAGTGTTGGGCAGCAAAAGGTGAACATGAACATAAAGTTAGCATGACAAAAATGAAGATGCTTCATTGGATAAGCGGTCATACGTGTAACGTGTTAGGATAGGATAAAGAATGAAGACATGAGAATTGTACTTGGAATAATATCTATTGTAGAGAAGATGGTAGAAACTCGTCTTATGTGGTTTAGACATGTGGAAAGAAAACCACTAGAACATCTTATGACAAGGATTGGTCAAATTATAAACATACATGTGACTATTAGCAAACATTGATATAGTAGTATTATTTATGGAACATGCCTTACTAGGTTAGTAGCATTCAAGAAATTAAAATGAAGAGTTATGAGTCATTTAATTCTTTCTTTAAAAAATGAAGTTTTTTTGTGCAAACGAGTAGAAAAATAATGAAGTTTATTGTGAGACATGAATTTTTTTGTACTACAAACATATACTCGGTCTCAAAAAGTGTACTACAAACATATTGCTAATTCAAAATGTTAAATTATCAACACTTCAACGGGAATTTTGGCAATTGGCCAATAAAAATGTTATTTTTGTCAAAATATGAAAAAACACATTATTGCTACGCAAAACACTGTTTAAAACAAAAAAATATCTTAGAATCATAGGTTAGAGAATATGTAAACCAAATTGCTCATTAAACAAAAACTAATTACTAACCAAATGACCCGTTCTACTAAACAAAAATATTTTTTATCTTTAACACTATCATATCCGTCCTCACATGCACTCCCATTGATAAATTCCAAAATCATAATTATTAAAAATAAATAAATTAAATAAATGTTTTTTGTTAAAAATAAATCAAATAAATAATAAAAACTACTCTCTCCGTCCATAAATAATGTTCTTGTTACGCATTGCGATGTTTAACTGAAGTTATACATGAAAAGATCTACAAAACTATAAGTGACATGACTATATTATTTTATCAAATATGACCTGAAAATAGACCAACAAAGTGAATAAAATTTGAACATGTGAATAATGAATAAGAACTTTATTGTTGGACGGAGAAAGTATATGGTCAAAATAAAAAAAGAAAGCTCCTACATCGCATCCGTCCCCGTCCGGAGAGATGCAAGATTACATGTGTGCAACGCGCAAAGGAAACCATCGCAGCACTTCTGGCGCGGACGAGATGAAATGCACCGCGATGGAGGAAGTCTAACAAGAAACACATTATTCACTAATCACAACCCGATTGCTTTCTAACCAGCAACAAATTGCTCCTTAATATGCACCTATGTACAACTTGTAACTATTACATAGTATATCATATATTCTGAATCACCAGAAATAGTCAAATAGGCAATATTTCAACTTCCATTATTTTCTCAGGTTCTAAAACGTAACCCAGAAATGACCTGACACAATAATAATAACTCAAGACCCATTCTTATGTAACAATGGATCAGAGATTACTTGAGGCTCAAAACCTGGCTTTACGTAGCACGAAAGCAGGTCTGCATACATCTCGTAGCGTGCAGTCATTCTGAATCCCCATTTGTCCTTTAATTGTCTGCAAAGGTTAAGATCCATGTCTGAGACGATCAAGCCATCCCTGTGACGCGACAGAGATGGTGTGCATGAAGCATCCGGAGAAGAGAAATGGCTGGAACCATAGAAATGGCCAAAATCCGTGTGTTCTGGCTTTCCATCTCCGGATGTGAATGCGTTGGGGAAAATCTCTGTTCCAACTCGATTTATTGAAGCCACAAAGTAACTATTCGCTATTGCTGCATTGCGAGCCTGCAAAATCACAGCAGAAAGAAAAAAAATGTTGTGTTCATGGAAGGTAAGGGATGGAATCCCATGTAAAACAAGGATAGAACTCAATTGGCTCTTAAATCACTCCAATATTTTGTCTCGTCCAAGCATAGTGTAAAGCTGACATACTATTATGACCAAACATTCACAATAATGATGGGGGTGGGTACCTCAATGGGCCACATCGGTTCACTGAGTTCACCAACAGTGGCCGAAGGGTTGAAAACAATCTCGGCACCATTTAACCCAAAGGCCAACCAATTGAGGGGATGATGCCTTCCATAACATATATTAACAGCAATCTTTCCATACGCGGTTTCAAAGACAGGATGGCCAGTGTTCCCTTCCATGTAGTATGTGCTCTCATTAAAGTCCCCGACTCTAGGTATATGGTTCTGCAAATTGGCCAATACTATATGCACCGAGAAACAACATGGCAAAGAACATAAAGAAGAATTTTACACTATGTTTGGTTCAAGGAATTTGAAATGGAAAAGAAAAGAAAATGAGATGGAAAATAGTTTTTCTTGTTTGGATAGAGAGGAAAAGAAAAGAGAAGTAGAAGGAAAATGAAATGAGAAGACAAAATATATTAAGAGGAGGGAAAATCAAATTCCTTCCATTTTGGTGAGGAAAATGAGAGAAAATCATTTTCTTTTCTTTACCTTCCAAAATCCTTGAACCAAACTTAGTGTTAGTGTTACCTTTCGGTGTTTTCCAATTACATTTCCATGGTTCCCAATTATAACACATGTGTTCCAGATCGTTTCTCCATGTTTCACATCCCTCTCGAGAATTGGGCTAATCACAACCATGTTATATTTCTTAGCAAATTCCTGAAGAAACTGTGTAGATTCTCCATCTATTGGCTCGGCAAATTCACACCACCTCTTTTCACGAGTACAAAATGCAAATGGCATCATCCATGCCTCCTGCATGAGTTACAAAGTGATACAATATGCTTATGTTTCGAAGGAACACCAAAATCTGCAGTATCACTTCCACGATATGTTTGGATAAAAAATGCCACAAGGTGGGATATGCTAGGTTATAATTTCTCGTGTTAGGACAATTCGTTTCTACCTTAGAAAATGCAAAGGAAAATGAAATATGTTTAAGGTTTTAAAAACGGTTCATTTGTGTTTAGATTTCTTTAGTATTCATATATAATAGAAATGGAAAAATAAAACAAGTTTGAAAAATATCAAAAATAAATTTATTGAATTCGAACCAATGTTTCATTTTTTTTCCCGCATGTTTCCTTTCCATACAACTTTCTCCTATATGTCCCTCGTATTTCTTTTCGCAAGCATTTTTTGAGTTCCATAGAGACCTATAGACTCACCTGCAAACACAGGATATTGACTCCTGCAGTCCCAGCAGCATCAATGATGGGCGTAAGCTTCTGAAATATGGCATGTTTTTGTTCCAAAAAAGGTGCAGTTGTAGGAAGGGCAATAGAGTTCTGAATGAGTCCAACTCTAACAATCCGAGGTTCTCTAAACGACTCTTTTTCAGCCCGAAACACAAACGCCTGTGTTCAAAAGAAACAAACACCACACTAAACAATGTAACTTAACTACTAATGACCTACTCCAATGTGAGGTTATGTGACACAACTCATCAATTCCTACCCTCAACTGAAGTTAGTTAAACAACATTTAGGAGCTTTAAATACACATATTGCTAACAGGACTACTGTGATTACGGGAATGTAAGATTACCAAAAGATGATAGTTCACCAAATGGGATATTCTCTCTGTCCCTATTTAAACTTCCAGTTCGACAATTCCCAGTCGAATTGGACAAACTTTGACAGTCATATGTAGAAAAAAATGACAAGGGTAAGCTAACAATAACTTTGAAAATGGTGGGAGTCTTATTTATGCTTAAAATCCAAACTGATAACATGTACTGTTACGTTACTGAGGTCGGAGATATTATCTATGTCGCTATGCACTTAAATAAAACAAGGCCATGTACACACTAACCACTATTGAAATAGATACATCATCTACAGACTTTACCGTATATATGATGAACTCCAGGCATCAAATTCAAGGATAGCTTCCTTCAGGGAGATTATGGAGAATTGATGATGTACATTTCAACCAAAAGAGTACTCTGTATGAATGGACTCATTTGGTTTTGAATATGCTTATGGCTGATTCTAATTCTCATTATCAACTAGCATACAATTCTAGAGAAATCAATCACTTCCTTGATTCTGAAAATCAGGTTCCGGTAACAAAATCACAATTTGACTCCAGCCAGAATCCGAATCAAACAGCTGAAAAATCTAAACAGAATGAACCACTGCTACTAACAGAACACACTGAAAATATAAGATCACCTGAAGATCAAAGTCGTGTTTCTCCGATAGCAATCTGGCAGGCTTCGGAAGTTCAACGGCATCAACCGCTGTTCCACAATTGAGCCCCAAAAGCAAGCGGCTAACTTCCTACAACAGAAATCGGGAAGGGTTGTGAGAAAGCACAAAACAAAAATGGCGGATCGGATTAGAACGTTGCCTGAAAGAGATGGGGACTGAGAGAAGCTTGAAGGAGACGGTGCAGAGAATCGAAACCACAAATGGAGCCGTTGTTTGAGCTCTCAGTTGTTGGGTTTGAGCTGCTTTTGACTGCTACGACGTCGTTGCTTTCCTCTTTCCCGCTCGCCGCCATTTCTGCTCCTCCAAGATGATCTGCCTATACCTTTGGGTACACACGGGCATGTGATCAGGTCTATCCATTTGGTTTCTTTGGCTTATTCTTATTGGAGTATTACTTTAGGATATTTCTATTGGAGTTAGCTCAAAGACATCACATTCACTACATCTTTAAATATAATTATAATTAAAAAAATTGATGCCAAATCAACTAATTTGGTGTATAATTGAAGGAGTAGAAAGTGGGTTTGAGTTGGCGCGGGGTAAGAGATTTACCAGAAGAGTTTAAGATAAGAATAATCATTTTTTTAAAATGAGGTCGTGTAGAGACCTTAACTAGGGATGACAACGGTCAGGTTCGGTCGGATTTGAGAATACTGAAACCCGATCTGACTTAAATCGGGTATGGATTTAATTTTTTTGGCGGGTCTGTTTTATATATTTATTTATTTTTTGTTTGGATTCGGTTTAAGATTCTGTTGGGTAAGAGAGTGACTCGATGACATTTGCATTGACAAAATTGTACAAAATATATGTTGCAATTACATATTGAATGTTTATAATGAAAAAGGCATGTCTTAAGAAAAATAATGGCAACATTTCAAGAGCTGCTAATTACTACCCCAAAGCAATAAACAATGGCGATGAAAAATTCAATGTAACTTTAACTTGTTTTGATCATTTGAAAAAGAAAATCTACTGCTGATCTTCATTTGCACCACCAGCACTTGCAGCACTCAGATCCACTGACAAATCAACCGCCTAATGAAAGAAAAGAAAGTCATCCAATTATAAATAATTTTAAATATAGATAATTTCAAAGTTTACCCCTAAATTTTAAAATGTACATTATTACCCTTGAATTTTTTTAAAATTGCAAAATTTATCTCTGAACATTAAAAAGTGCATCAAATATCACAGAACAATTTAAAGCGTTGCACCATTGGTCCTAAAATATGAGATAGAGAGTGTGTTGCTCCCACGGACAAAAACTGCGAGTACGATTCATCTTACCCTTGTGAATTATCCAAAGTACCCTTCCTAAGAAATATCCTCTTTATTCAAATATTCAAATGTAAATCGTGTAATTTTAAAGTATTTAGGGGTATTTTGTGTACTTTTTAATGTTCAGGGGTAAACTGTGCAATTTCAGAGAAATTTAGATGTATTTGGTACGTTTTAATGTTCAGATGTAAATCTTACAATTTTCAAAAAAATTCGGGGGTAAACGGTGCATTTTGGGGAACTCCCATTCCGACTCGATTGTGCAGTGAGAGATAAACTAAAGATATTTTTAAAAATAATATTGATAATCTAAATAGAATATATAATATTATGACGTACTAATATTATTCTATTTTGAAATTTGCACGAAATTATATAAATCTATACCTTTCCAGTAATTTTAGTATACATGTCTAGCACATCTTGTACAGTGGACTCAAAGTGTGTTGATGCATCATAGCTCTGCAATAAATAAATAAATAATAATAATAATAATAATAATAATAATAAAAGACTGATAGTGATTAAGATGATCGATGAATAGAAGTTAAAAAAGAATGATACTAATAAAAACTAATCAGTACTTACAGTAGATATGAAGCAATTATCTGCCGCAGAGTCATTTACAGGCATGTATCTGTCACAAGTTTCATAGAATATTTCATCTACGGCTCCGAGCAAGTCGACACCCGGCTTCAGTTCTGTTTCTGGATCGTCGGTTTCGGCTTCGGTGAGAACGAAGGCTATATATTTTCCCTTGGGAGCAATGTTGTGAGAATAGGAGCAGCAGAACAAGTACCTATTACATGTCAAACATTACAATCACTCATATAGCCATATGCCCATATGTATCATTATTGAACCAGAAGTTTGATCTATTGGTTGAGTTTGTTTTTTGATACTGTATCAAAACTTTAATTTGCTTATAAAGAGGTCGCGAATTTAAATCTCACGAGAAGCCATAAAAAAAGTACAGTATATATACTTACATGTCTGATTTACGACCGAGTTGTTTTTGTGGCAAGATGACTTGAGCAGAATGGGAGTCATTTGTGTTGGGGATTGGATGGCTCATTGTGCAGATTGCTCTAGCAACTTTTCCAACCTTTTGGACCTGTAATGTGCAATGTCATGATACACTGTCAAATTGTGACATTTACAATGTCAACGCTCCTAAACACAAAAAAAACTTATTTTGCATTTTATTATGGTAGATTTCTTTGGTAAAAAAAACAAACAAATTAAATAAGCAAATTATTACCTTATTGGTTAAATATGATGGATCACAAACAACTTTCTTGCACTTAGCTGTTTCTCCTTCGGATGTCACACCATAAGCTTTGCCGCTTTCATCAAATTCCACCTGAAAATTTGTACAACAATATTTGAGGTTCGAAGTTCATTAAAGATTTTATACGCTAACGGTAATTAATTAATAATAGGAGAATTTACTTAAATTTTAGTATTATTTACTGCAAATATTTCGTAATAATATTAGTGTATAAATTACCTTACACTCGGGTTTGTTAAGCATGTATGTTCCACCATAAACTGCACTAAGGCGTGCAAATCCCTGCAAAAAAAAAATCATCAACGTATATATAAGTCCTTAAGTGAGGGATAACCAACCATGGTTACATTGCTACCAAATGATGGTTAAAATACACATATATAGTTAGAAACAAACCTGAGGCAATTCCCCAAGTCCATACATTGGGTATATATATGGAGATCCTGCTTGGAAGCGAGCTAAAGACTCTGCATATAACTTTACAAACAAACCAAAAAGGTGATTTTTTTAGGACAAAAAGGTGATTTAATTCCACAAGTTTAACCTACGTATCATATCATTTCACATCTATTTACTATTAATCTACCTATTAAATCCTACTTTTACGCGTTACATCCAAGGACATTTTTGAAAACTCAACAACAAAATGCATTTTTCTTAAATCCCTTAAAAATCAAAATCTCTCGTGTTTTCCAGGGACAGACGAGGGAGTATAAGATTGGGTCACCTTGACTTTCTTGACAAACTCCATTGCAGGTTGGTCTAAATAAGCATCATCGGGCTGAAGAGCCAATGCATGACCAATAAAATCAATTGTGTCCTCTTCAAGTTCATATTTCCTGCACGTAGATTATGATTGTTATACTGTTAATTAACCATGTAATACAATTAATAAGTACAAATTTACTTTAATCCATTGAAACTAAACCAAACTAGCTTTAATTAAAATAAAAAAATTGATGAAATGTAACATTGGTTATTATAAATAATTACGCAATGAAGTCTCTAGCAGTGACATTGTTGAGGTCCATTCCATGGTGAGTCTTTGGGTCCGTCTCGTCAAAATCTTGGACATAAAGAAAGAACTTCCTGGCACGGCGCTTCTCGAACAACCCCATTAATGACGATTTCAACGCTTCTACATCTGTTGCCGGTACTTTGTAGATCTAAAATTGTTCATCATAATAGTTTGTGTTAAAATTTCGGCGCACCAAGAACTACACATAGGGCATATAAAGTCAGAATCCACTCATCTAAACCAAAACTTTAAATTGATAGGTAGGGTTTCACCCTTCTATACATGCTAGCGATATTTTTCCTTATTTTATGATGTGAGAGCTGTAACATTCCCCTTCAAGTGGTAACTAGTCGATCTAGTTATCACTCGAACAAACGGGTCTAGCATCTCAATCTCTTATGGCTAGCCTACACAACTGGCGATGACTTTTCATTCTCTTATAGCCATTTCAACCCATACCACGAACGGTTGAAATTTGTTGTTTGTACTCCTTCCGTCCTATAAATATTGGTATATTTAAATATTGGTATATAAATAAAAAAATAAAACATACATATTTAAAAACTACACCAAAAGTTCAACAAAACAAGTGGTGACAATAATATTTTATTTTATCATATAGGCCATGAAAAAACACAAATAAATATAAATTCCCGTGAAGTTGGAATAGTGCTATAGGAAGATCATTATAGGACGGAGGGAGTATTTTTTTGTGGGGAGATATTGTAAACTTTTGAGGGAAACATATATATTTTACCTTTCCTTTGTTGTAAACAAAGCTACCCTCAACTGCTTTGAAGTTGAGATATTTGGTAACATTAGTGTGAATAAGTACTCTCACTAAAGCTCCATTTGCCATCATGAACTGCATACAAAAAATCACATTAAACAAAATTCAATTTGAAATTCACTCATCTAATTAACTATTGTGTCACGCGCTCACTGGAAACTTCAAAACTTGAAAACAGCTGACCAAAAAAATTAAAATTGAACAAATACGTAAGAACAAGGTAGTATATATATTTAACCGACTAACTATAAAAAAAGCTTTGTGAATAATACTTTATGAATCATGTCGACATTGTACTCTTTGCTAGCGCCTAAGCTCTCAGGAGCTTTATCATTTCCTCTAAACCGCTTCCAAAGCTACACATTTATGAAGAAATAAAATGTTAATATCATTCTGTTCATATAAGAAGACACAAATTGAACAAAGGATATATATTTTGTTCTTAAAAAAGGTAACCTGGATTAAGTTAAGAGAACTGGACTCTCCTCCGTAGTAGTCATTTTTATCCATGTGCAATACCTATCATATCATATGCATGCATGTAGAACAATGCACAAATATTTTAAAAACATACGGAATATTAAAGCTTTTACTCCATTCATCTCTAATTTGATTACAAATTGAGATTTACGAGACCGTAAAAAGATATTAGTGGTCAAAACGCAATCTTGGAGACCGTGAAATATTCATTTAGGAGACCGTGATCGAAATACTTATTCATTTTGAAATATAATTTTTAAATATCAAATTTTTATAAAATATATCCATGTATAAATAAATATATTAGTGGTCAAAGTGCAATCTTGGAAACCGTAAAAAGTCAAATGGAAAGATTAATACTCTATAAGATCAAATTATTACCAAATTGTATCATTACTACCCATCACAATTTATTAATGATATGGTACATGACTTATATATGATTAAATACCTTGAGTCCGTCGACGGAGAGGAGGCCGCTGATGATGCATTCTTTGAGGCCCGTGCCGAGAACGATGACATCATATTCTTCGTCCATAGCGACGGCGTGGACCTTGCCGGAAATGAGGGGATGAGATGGAGATCAAGAAAAGAATGATACAATAACGGGAAGAGATAGGAGAGAAGGAAATAATGGACAACAAGTTAGAAAAGATGAAAGGGATGAAGGAGAGCATGCAACGGGTTGACCATTAAAGAGCGAGTCTCTTGCCTTTGCTTTCCCTTTGAGATAGAGGCCATAAATTATTTTGACTATATATATATATATATATATATATATATATATATATATATATATATATATATATATATATATATATATATATATATATATATTCTCCATGTTTTAAAAAACCACAACTATATACTCCCTCCGTCCTAATTTAAATCGCCTCTTTCGATTTATAATATTTGACTGAATTTAGTTTTAAATCCTTTCATATGAAGAATTGTGTAGATTTGAAAAATTAAAAATTACATCAAAAGATCTACAAAACGAGCTAGTAATGATATGACTATATTATTTTATCAAATTACTAACAATAATAAAGAAAATAAGTAAATGAAAGTTGACCATATGAATAGAAAACAGGCAATGTGAGCCATGTCATAGCATTATTATTACCCCCCTAAATAGATTACAAATTGCGGGTTACGAAGAAAAATTTTATACTTTTTGAAATCATTTTATTTACAAATTGGTATATCAATAAGATATAAAAGTTACCTATTAAAAAACTACGTCAAAAGTTCTACAAAACAAGAGGTGACAAGAATATTTTATTTTATCAAATACTTAATGAAATCGCGTAAACAAACAAAAGTTATCGAGAAAAGAGAGAAAAAAATTGTAATCTATTTAGAGACGGGAGAAGTATTTTTATATTTATTATCTACAGAGATGTTTCATTCCACACTCATTCTTTATTAGTCAGATCATACAATGTGAGCCATGTAATAGCATAATTTTATTTTTAATTAAAAGTATTGATGTTTTTCTTAGGCCAATTTAAATTAATAAAATATTCTTAATTTTTAGAACATCGTTTAGCTTCATGTAAGTTAGAAAAAAATGTTCCCAATAAAATTGTGATTTGTACTATTGATATTAAAAATGAAATGAAAATAATATTTAGTGTGAATCACAATAAAAGTGACGTTGGAAAAAATATAAATTGTAAAATAAATTATAGTTATTAGTTATTACCATAGTAATAATAATAACAACAACAAAAACAATAATAATAATAGCAATAATAAAAAGAATAATAATAATAATAATAGTAATGATAATTAATAAATGAAAAACACATTATCTTTTGTGTCATTATTTGGGAGTAGAAAAAGATTGACGAGAATGAAAATAGCTGTAAAAAATAGAAAAGTTGGAACACACTAGAAAAAGCATAAAGAAATTAAATGAAACTAGAAAAAACTTGGAAAACTAGAAGCAACTCAAAAAATGAAAGAATTTGAAAGAACTTCGAAATTAAGAGTTTAATTTCTAAAGAACAAGAACTTAGAGCATTTACAACGGGCGAGGGCATTTCTGGACCCGTCCTCGCTCCTGTCACATTAGCATTCCACTAATATTTAGCTTTAATCTACCCCAAAATCATGCAATGCAATTGCCCAGATAAAAACCCGCCTCTCTCTTTCTTTCACATCATTCCTCATTTTCAATTCCAAATTTTTATTAAAAAAAATTAAATTAAATATAATTAATATAAAAAGCCTAAGATTGACACTTTATTAAAAATAACATCAAAATAAAAACAAAGTACATCGAAAACACATTAAAGTTTATGAAAATACAATTAAAGTTTATGAAAATACAACAAAAATTAATGCAAAAATTAGATATTGTTGCACCTCCAAATTTACAAATAGTATTATATTGTTACAAATGATGTATAGACGAACTATATAAGAGATGCTCTTGTGTGGCCCGTAGAGTAGACAGTGCGTACAGGATCTCATGCCCGTGATAGGATTGTCTTGCTTCTCTAGCAACAGGGGCCGAGTACACGATTTTGTCGCTGGATGAAACCCAAGTAAAGATCTGTCCGGGTTTGCCCCTATGTCCAAGCGCATGCAGGCGAGCTATGTACAGACGCGTGTCCGAGTGTGGTTGTTATCTTGAGTGCTTGGTTTCCTTTAAGTTCATTCAGCCGGGTAAGGTGTTTTTGGCCAAGCGCGTCCGATTCCTGCAATTGGATGAACCTTGTGTTGGGCCATTATTATTTTGTTGGGTTGGATACCTCCCTAGTTCAGGGCATCCATCATAATATAATACACATTTATAACTTCAGGAATAAGTTTTGAAAATAAGGGGTACTAGTGTTAACTCCGTGCTTCGCACGGGCTCGTATACATTCTAAAATTTGACACTCTCCAAATATAATTTTATTTATTTTAGATTTCTATTAGTGACATTATATGTGTTGATGTATGTTTATTAAGTCTAAGATATACTCTGTATCTTTTTTTAAATAGAAACTATAGTTTAAATATTTATGTACATACACTAAAAATTCTTTAAGTATTTGGTTTAAAAGTACTAAAAGATAAATGATAAATTATTTTTATAAAATCATATAAATTTACTTTTCAAAATATCGACAAAGTTTAAAAAATATTTTTTTAGATATAATTTAAGTAAACAAAATATGTTTTAAAGTGGTGGAATATATATTGGTATATTAATTCAAAAACAAAAGGTTTTATACACAACATAATTAAAGTAATGGTTTTTTAATACTAAAATATAATATTCCTTTAATCAAATGCAATAAAATGTATTTAAAAAGCTAAATGGACCAATTGAATGTAATCCACCTCATTAATAGGTGCACATGTGGATGCACATGTGGCATGCCACTTGTCAACAGCACAACACATAAACTTAACTTTACATATATATATATATATATATATATAGGATAGGATAGGATATAGGATAGGGTAGGATTTGGTGTCATTTTTCAAACCACAGAGGATACGGGTGCTATTTAACCAATGTTATACATCAAATTTAGTACTTCCTCCATTCCTAAAAGATCATTTCCTTTCATTTTTTTGCCAAAATATATTTTCTTAGCTATTAAAAAATTACTTTTATCCCTTACTTTTTCATACCCTACCTATCTCATCATATCTTTTTACTAATAATCTATCTATCACATCTTACTTTTACTCATCACATCAAAGATATCTTTCAAAAGTTAACACAAAATATTATTCTTTAATTTCCTAAAAAGTCAACAAGAGAAACTCTTTTAGGGACGGAGGAAGTATTATTTATATTTTAAAACACCAAGGTTCCCATGACATTGAAACCCAATGTCATAGGAACCCCACCCATTTTAAAATATTATTATATCATTCAAAACTAATTAGTGATGAGTTTGAAATTTTGTAATCACTAGTATTTCAACCCGTGCAATGCACGGGGTCAAATAAAAATTTTCGTTGATTCTGAATTTTTTCTATGTAATATTTTTTTAGGAATCAAGTAAATATATTTCTTACACGATTTTTAATACATTAGACAACAACACCAGAGTAAGATAAATAATATTTGACGAACCGAGAGTGTACTCGACAAAGTCATTTATAATTCCAAGTTTTTGAAAGACTTCGAGGCATACAACATATTTCGTACGATTGCAAGAGTTTTTTGTCATTTAGAACCAATATTTTTAATCATGTAATTATCTTCACTCGTGAAACGACAACATAAAGTTGGTCATGAGTGAGTACTGACTTGGTTCAAAATAATCCAATAAAAGATAATGTTTGACATTGGCTTTTGTTAACAGTCAAAGCAAAATATAAGATTATTGGGATTTGGCTTCTTTGAAATTTTAGGGGTAGTCATTAATCAGATAGTACCAAATTCATTCAAGGTATGTAAACCTTTTCCCCAACTCGATTTCTCGAAACCACAATTGCATCGATAAAGTTTTTTTGAAGTTCTTTAACTATTACACAATCTATATGTTTGGTCAATGTTTCTCAATAACATAATTCCTACCGCTTTTTTAAAACTTATTTTTGGTTTAGGATAACTGAATATTTGATTTCATTCAAACACTCAACTGTTAATCAATCGTCATCAACACCTATATATGAATCTCTCTGACATGAAGAATCAGAACATAAGTACTCCTTTTCATCTTCAGCGATGAGGGATATGACAAATTCTTTTTTTTATTTTTCTACAGCCTTGAGCATGGGTGCCAATAGTACCATATCTTAAAAATAATCATTTTTCATATTCTTTTATAGGTTCAAAGAAATGAAGTCCATTTTACTCTTGTGGGAATAATTTTTGTCATGAATCAAGAATTCGGGTGATATTTCAACATCAACAGTTCTATCAATCACTTATTAAAGCTTTCTATCTCCGATTTTGATTATCCAGTCAGAAAAAAGCTTGTACTCCTGAACATTTGATTTCATCCAAACACTCAACTATTAATCAATCGTCATCAAACACTTAACTATTAATCAATCGTCATCAATACCTACACATGAATCTGTACAACATGAAGAATCAAAACTTAAGTACTCTTTTTCATCTTCGGTGATTAGGGATATGACTAATTCATTTATCATTTTTCTACAATCTCGAGCATTTGGTGCCAATAGTGTCATATCCTAAAAAAGAATAACTTTACGTATTCTATAATATGTTTGTATTAATGAAGTCCATTATACTCTTAAGGAGATAATTATTGTGAAGATTCAAGAATTCAAGCGATATATCAACGTTAGCAGTTCTATCAATCACTTGTCTTAGCTTTCCATCTCTGACTTTGATTATCCAATCAGAAAAAGCCTGTGTGTCCCTATCCGCGCAAAAGGACATAGATGAATGCAATCTCATATTCTTGATGAACATATAAACATTACAATACGACCATAATTTTGAGGAATTGACATTAGCACCTACAATTTCCTCTCTTGAACACTTTGGTAAAGCTAAAAGAATTTGGCAAAGATCACCTCCATGTACAACTTGGTTATCCCTAAATGGTTCATTTATGGAGTAACATCTCTCTATTTAGCTCAATAGAAAAATCTATTAATCTTACATGTTTAATCTTAATTGATGGCACATGTTGAACTTTCGATAAGCTCTAAAGGGATTGAAAATCTCGAGTGTTTTGTCCTTCCACCGGGTAAAAGCAATGTTGCAATGCAATGGATGCGACATTTAAAATAATCTCACCATTTGACCTTAAAGAAGCAGACAACGATTTTAGAGAAATATTTTTTTTCAGTTTCATAATATTTATATATGGAGTAGTATTGAGTTATATGTCAAAATTAGTATTTTTTTTATTTTTTCAAGAATTAAATTTAATATTAATTATATTTATAACAATTAATATTATGTCATATATATAGATTTGATATCAATTTCAAAAAGGTAATCCATAAGATAAGAAGTCAAATGTTGTTAGTGTCCACAATTATAGAGAGTAAGAAGGAATTATGAGAAATTAGTATCCACAACTAATATGGAATATACTCCGTATTTATTTGAGATTCTAGAAAATCTCGTTTACTTGTATAGCCATGACATATATTGATAGTTAAATCTCAAAATACAAATGGCGAATTTTTTTTGTTTTTTTAGAAAAAAGCATTTGAATATCATTTTTTTGTTTTTCAAATATATTTATACCACATGTTTATTTTACATCATTTTAACAATCGTTTTTTGGCAAAGACAAATTGTTAATGGATCTTTTCAATAATAAAGAAGCATGTGAAAATAAAAGTTAAGCTCAAAGATGGTAAAAGTTGACGTCTGCATCAATGTCTTATATTTTTTTGTCTTTTAATATAAATAAGACATGTGTTATATAATAAAATATGCATTATTTTTTCATTTATAACTTTTTTTGTCTTTTAATATACGTAGTATACATTTTTATTTATTTAAAAATATTTAAAAATCAATTTCATAATTTTCTGTTTTCTATTTTAAGAAAAAAGTATTTAAATATCATTTATCTTTCTCTTTCAAATAAATTTCAACCCCACACACTTTAATTTTTACATCAATTTAACAGTTGTTTTTTATTTTTGGTGAATCCAAATTGTTAGTGAATTTTCTAAGAGGGTAGAAGTATGTAAAAAATAGAAGAAGCCTCTTAGGAAAGGAGTAAAAAAAATTTAAAAATACCAAAATAAAAGTCTAATGTATTTTAAGACCAAAATATGAGTATAATGGTAATATCGTGTAAAAATACGCGTTGGCGGTGCAATAGAAAAGAGATGACATTGTATTATGTCAGGGTGATTAGTCAACCTTTGGCGATCTATAGTGACACTCTAGTGGCCGGCGGCAACGAATGACAGTGTGACGATGATAGTGTAGGAGTCAGAATGTGACAGCGTGGTGAGTGTGACTGTAACAATGACGGTGTGAACTCCTATTCTGGTATTAAAAAGTCCGAATAAAAAATGCTTAAATTTAATGTGTGCATTAATGCCTTTTTTAATTTTTTTCCTTAAAATTAAAATATGACATTTGTATATACTTAAAAATTCATTATTTTTTATTTATAATTTTTTTTCCTTCTAATATATGTACTCTTAACTTTTAGCACATAAATAATAAACAATTTTATACCGAGTACGTTTTATCCATTCATAATTTTTATTATATACTCCAAATTCTATGTATTTTCCATAAATAAAGCATGTACCATTTAAAATAAAATTTAAACCTAATTTGGTTCAAATTATATACATCCAACTATCAATGACATATATAAAATTTGTAGCATTTAAGTTATTTTTGTGTTTTTACCAATTCCAATGGGTGATTTCAAATTATTAGACTTCCAAGTTTTTGAAAAATCTTTTGAAGATTTTTTTTTTGTTTTTCTATTATGCTGGAATATATGACATGAACAATTATGCGGGAGGTATTACAATTCATGTGGTCATTGCAAAAAGCTGTAGTGGTACTAAAATCAAAAGTGCATTTAGCATTCTGCCCTCAAAAGTGCATTTAACATTCTGCAAAATTTGTGCTTAACACACATTTGCCATTTGATCAGTATCAAGAATTGAAAAGCTAACTTCGTCTAATGGTGCAGGGGCACACTCATTGTGGTTCTTGCCATCCGGATTAAATTTGTGCACAAAATTAGTTCCCAAAAATTGTTAACATTGAGCATTTAACAATAGTTGGAACATGTTGGATTTTAGTAGAAAGGTTCATAGGACCGTCAACATCTATATTAGTCAACATCTATATTATCGTGTAGGTGAGGAGCAAGCATTAGGAATGTTAACATAAGAAAGAGTAACATCTCACACATTAACATCGTGTATAGGATCTGGGGTCACATCACACAACAGGAGATACCAATTAGAGACCATACCTTCACCTGATATTTTTACTTATCGTCAAAGTCACTTCTTTATTAGAATATACAACAGGGCTACAAACTTGTAGTATTGTAGAACCGTCTACAAAGGTGCATGTAATTAGTAGTAAGCAAAACAGAGTTCAGACTATTAGCAATAACATAGTTCGTGGAAACAAAATTCAGCATAGACTTGGCCTCAATTGAAGGTTAAAAAGCACACACAAGCATTATCAATGAAGTACTTACTCATATAAGCTATCACCATGTTTTTACAGAAAACACTGGCAGCATCTTGGAACATATAAGGTCATACTCAGTGTTTGGCAGCAACCTGGAACAAAAAAATGCATTGTATTGAAAATTTTCATGTTCTACTTGTATTGGGGGTCTCAATCAAATTCTCAAATTGTGTAGTACAATTATACTTCTTGTGCATAAAAACCTCTTTTTAAATAAATTACATCTCTACGACAACAACAACATTACAACCACAACAACCCAGTAGAATCCCACGAAAGCAGGGTCTGGGAGGGTGTGTGTACGCAGACCTTACACCCACTAAAAGTAGAGAGACTGTTTTCAAGAGACCCTCAGCTCAAGCAGCACAAAATAAATAAATTATATCTCTATAATAGAATAAAATGATCAAATTATTACTTCCTGTGCATTCTGTTTAGTATAATTAAAAAAATCGCAAGACTTTTTACTTTTGAATAGAAAAATATGATACCAATGCATATTGAAGGAGTAATAAATAATAAATCAAGTAAACATTCATGTCTCACATGTGGAATAAAAATAAAAAACAAACTGTAAAATCGGACCTTAAAGAGTATGGTGAATAAGATTAAGAAGATAGGTTTATTACATAATTTTGAACTCTAGAAAGTTGAAAATAGGAAAACTTGAATGCATGAGCACTTCAATGAGCCAAGAGTGAAGCAAACACTGTATTTTTCATTCTAAGTTCACTGCGTGGGAGAAATAGATCAAAATCAAAAGACACTGAGTGTTAAGACAATGGATTGAAACTGGGAACACGCAGATCATCGATTAATCAAACACACAGAACACTC